TGCATTATGTAAAGGTGTACAATTCCCAATGAGAAATGTAATTGTGTTGTATACCTACAATGTACCAATAAAAAAATTTAATAAAAAAAAAAAAAGTTTACCAGGACATCAACCTACTTGGCATATTGTTCATGCCAAGCTAAATCATGTCTTGTGGTGCTAAACTGATGAGCTCAGAGCTCATGTGGGATTCCTAAGTCTAGGGTGATCATATGTCCTAGTTTCAGAGGCTTAGTATCTCAATCCCATGCACAGTGGTTATTAATGTAACTTCTTTTCCTTCTTAAAATTATCCCAGCTTTGCATAGTAAATTACATAGTCTCCCATCTTAGTCAAATTTTTTTATTTTTTTTTTACTATGGCAGCAAATCCCTTTAAAATTTTAGTGACGTAAAATACCAAATATTTAGGTTTTGCTGATGGATCTGTGGTTCACTTACATCTCTGTTGCCGGGCCTGGGTCAGGTTTGTCCTGACTTTGGGCCTGTGTATGTAAGTCTTTGTGTGGTAATCAGATAGTCTAGAAGATCATCTGTAATCTGCACAAGGTGAGAGCCCACGTGTGCTCTTCCATTGGCTAGAGCAAGCCACACACCCGGGACCAACATCAGAGGCTTGGATTGATACTGGCCCCATGGAGTGGAGCACTGTGGCAGGGGAGAGTGACTAGTGAACAATAATACAGCTATCACCTCACACTGCTAAACCCAGCGTGCCCCCTCCAGCTCTGCTGGTGTTTTGCTAGCAGTCTCTTTGTGAGGACATCACTGAAGTAATTAATAGTTCATAGGGAAGCAGTTTTACCTTCATTACAGAATATATTAAGGAATTTCACTGCTTTGTAAACCCTGCTTTGCTTTTACTTTTTTTTTTGTTGAGATAGGATCTTGCTATATAGTCCAGGCTGGCCTTGACCTCACTGTGTTGCCCAGGCTGGCCTTTAACTTGCAGGAATCCTCCTACCTTAGCCTCCTGAATACTGGGTCTATAGATGTGTGCCACTACACATGACTGGGGGAGAGAGATTATTGTTTTCTATTACAGTTTGATTAACTGGACAGGGTCTCTTTAGTTATGCCTCCATTATTATGACCTTTCACAGAAGTCTGCACTAATAAATTTTCCACTCCACTACATGAGCTTACAGAGCCAAATGAGCACCACCTCATATTGGAGCTCTGTGCCGTGTGATTTTTAGTGCCTTTTACTTTGCCCCCACCAACTGTTCTCCCTGTCTCCCATCCCTGTACTTAGAACTTTTTATCTCAGTGCTTCTTCATTTGTCTGTGCTGAGTATTCAGAGCTGATTGGCTTTTCCCAAAACAGTTTCAGAAATTTCTTTCACTTACTGGTTCAGAAATGGATCAGTTACCCTTTCTTGTTTTTCCATTGCTTATCCCACTTCAGTGGATTTAAGGAAACAAAAGGGACAAAGATTTGAGCTCAGTCACCCAGGTTGAAACTGGAATCCCAATGTTTTCAGAAATGCAACATCGTTTCATTGCAAGGGCGGAGACTGACTGAGAACCATAGGGAAATACGTTGTTTCCTTCAGCAGTCAGCAGCTGACTTTCTCTGAAGAGCAATGCTTCATAAAGAGACAGTGTACCATTTCCTGAGAATGATCAAGTGCCTTCAGAATCATGTTGAAAAGCAGGCAGATGGTAGTTGGTCAGCTTGATTCTATAACTAAATGGTTTGCAGGAAGGACCCATGCATGCCTCAGCAGGGATACAACTTGTCACAGATCACAGAATGTTGATGTGGATAGTTGACATTTTGAGGACTCAATAACTAATTTCTGATTTTCTCCTTTACTAGAGCATGAATTTATGAAGGTATGGAGTGTCATGTTCTCCACTGTATATTACAAGCTAGTATGGTACCTGGCACATAGTGTACCTTTAGAAAAAATTGGGTGGAAGCAATACAGATATTAATGATAGACCATAGAGGCAAAAACTCTGGGCCTCCTAAATGTAGTATAGCACAGTAAAGATAGGTAGGGGTATTATTTAAGATAATAGTATCAGGAATTAGTTCAGATCGATGCTTTAGCCTTCCTGGCTCTATGATAGAGTGGTGTGATAGCCTGAAGGAAATTAGACTTTGAGCTGAAAGCTGGAAGACTAGACATTGGATACTTTGTGGCCATGGGGCCATGGTCCATGTGCAGATGCTCTCATTACCTGCTGTGTGCTGTGCCCTCACCTTTACCACTTCAGTACTTGCCTGTTGATTTCCTGTATGACCTCTGCACTGATTTAAGTGAGGGATTTTTCTGGCCACCAAAGCTCATTTTATCTAACTGTGTCACTGGTTGAGATGCAAGATATTTAATGCCCTTTGGGATGAGAGCTGCCCTCAAATCAGTGACTAAAAGGAATTGGTAGATAAGTAGCCCAAGGCCCTCACTCTCTTAACTCTGAGACATATGAACTCTTCCCAGCTGACTTAACCTCTAGTCCCTCTCTGTGGTAACTGGCTTGATGATGCACAATTTACTGGCTGTCTTCTCTGGATCACTTCCCCACTTTTCCTATCTGTGTTTTCTTCATCTAAATCAACCTTTACTCTTGCAGGGTCTACTACTGGGGAATCTCAAACCATGACACTCTGCTCTGAGTCCTGAGGACTTGACCACTGAGTAGTATTCTTGAGGCTGCAAAATCCATAAAAGATTTGGGCTTCATTTTGCCTAAACCCTGAAAAGTTAATGACAAAAACAGAAAAGCACTTTTAGTTTTTCTTATTTGAAGAAGTTGTGACTTAATTCTGCAATTGTATTATGTAGCTCTCTGGGATGACAGTGATTTTTCAGAATAGTTGAAAGTGCCTTGTTCAGAAAACATGTATGACTCATGTTGCCTGTAGGAGGGGTCTCAGTGGATTTAACAGGGATTTCCTTTCCCCCTGGGAATGCCTTGTTTCTTCCTGTCACAGGCTGCTTATTTCTTCTAAATATGGCCTTCATGATATGTTTTATTCCCTCTGTTTTTGCTCACTGGTCTTCTGGTTGTGTCTGAATTCTCGCTGTCACTGTCCCAGAACCAGGTGACCCAGGAATATCTCCCAGCCTGGCCTCCTGCAGCCAGCTCCTTACGGATGAATGGATGAGAGGGTCATTCTGCCTGCACTGTGTGATGGGTGGATGTGGGAGGCACAGTCACACTGACCTTTGATCTTTGCTTCTTTGCAGATATCTCAGTGAGCCTGCTGACCCTCGTGGTCACTGCCTGTGGTCTTGCCCTCTTTGGTGTGTCTCTCTTCGTGTCTTGGAAACTCTGCTGGGTTCCATGGCGAGAACGAGGCCTGTTCTCTGGTAGCAAAGACAACAACCAGGAGCCTCTTAACTACACGGACACAGAGACCAATGAGCAAGAGAACAGTGAGGACTTCATAGACCCACCCACACCCTGCCTTGACTCCTCCATGAAGATAAGCCACACCTCCCCGGACATTCCCCTCTCCACCCAGCCCGGGGTCCAGGAGAATTGTGCCCATGGGGTCCGCATGCAGCGCCAAGTCACAGAGCCAACCTCGTCAGCTCGGTCAGTAGTGTCCCCTTCCTTTCTGATGGCAAGGCTAAGGCCACCCTAGTCCCCTTTTTGGGCATCAGTGATTAGCCAAGGAGGCTGTGACCTTTTAGATGTCTATTCAGTATGAGAGACATGGATATGGGAAAACTGTGTGCTTCCTATGTAGGATTTAGGTTCCTGAGGTCTTAGTCTCTTATGAATCCATAAAAGTAATATCTACCATTGTTAGGAATTAGGATGTATCAAGTTTGATATACAAACTTTACATGCATTATTTTATTATAGCTTACAACTTTGTGTGAGATAGCTGCTATTATCGTTTTCCTTTTATAGCAGAAGAAACCTAAGTCAAGGAGATTAAGTCACAAAGTCACTGAGCACACCAGTGGAGATTTGAACCCTCCTAGTTCATCCAACACCAGAACCTGAACTCTTAGCCAGCATTCCTTTTATAAGACCCTCCTAGTGCGGTAGAATTTATTCACTATGACTCTGACCTGGCCTAGCAATCTTCAGATTCTACAATGTGGCCAAGGTCTTTGTCCATCTTCAGCCTTTGTAAGGGCCACAGAGTATTCAAGCCTATGGTCATTCTCTTTCCATTGTCTGGAAGCTTTGTGCTCTTCAGCAGTAGAGAAATAACAAAGTGCACTTAGAGAAACTGTGGGTGGGCTCTGGGGTATAATGAACTGGCTTTACTTACATGTGTAACACTGAACAAATTACTTAACCTCCATATGTGTCCATTTCCTCTTCTGTAAAAGAGAAGTAGCAGGAGTACCAATTTTTAGGTGGTTTTGAGAATGGAATGATAACATAGGCCTGCACCTGGTCAGTGCTGCCGTTTTAATTTTCATATTGCTGTTATCAGCACCGTTGCCACTGAGATGACCCTCTGCCAAGTCTCAGATTGTACAGAGTTACTTTGAGGCTAAACAGTGAGTTCTAAATCACTAAATATAAAACTAATCTTTAAAAAGAGACCTTAGGAAAAGAGATACAGGAGCAACTTTCTTTAAAATGAAAATATTTGCTTGAGTGATAGCTAGAGGAATCACATGTGCTATTATTTGGAAAGTATGAACACAGTTTGGGGATATAAAATAAAAAATCTTTTATTCTCTAGAAACAAATAAGATTTTACTCTTTTTTATGTTAATCAAGTTTATCCTAGAGGCTCTGCTCATTCATGTTAAGTGGGATGGAATATGACAGTTTATAGTTTAGTTTTTTCAGAAATCTATTTTAGCATCATTTCCAATTCTGAATCAAAGAGCTAAACTTAAAATATTCCTCTGTAAGGAAATGGGTAGTTGTTTGCCATTTGATTTAGAAGAAATCCTCAGATTTTAGCACTAGGATTTCTCTTCCGATTTTAAACTTAAATATAATGAGAGCTCTATTTGATGCTGTCACAGACTTCGTGCAGTGGTGCAGACTTATAATAAAATTCTTTCAGTACTTCAAGACCTGGAGCCTTTCAGATAAGGTCTCCACTGAGATTGCCTCCTATTCAGTTCTACTCTGCATGTAATTTATCTTGTCTGGGTTCCCTAATACAGGGTGATAAAACTGGGTTTTTATTAGACTCAATCTGAGCATTCTACCATATTATTTTGATGAACTAATAGCAATAGTATCACTGTAATTATTACAATATTTATTCTAGAAAAAAATATAAATTATGTATCGAGAAATTGTTTAGAAGAGAAAAACTGTTGTTGTCTTCACCACTGATTTTCAGAAATTCGGTAGAAGGGGGAAAAAGAGAGCAAAAAAATTATCCCTGTAAAATGCATTTTACATTCAGATTTATGTTAGTTTTGGAGACATGAGATTAAGTTATCTTTTCTGATCGGCCAAATCCGATTTAGTAATAGCTGAACTGCCATTAGAAAACTAAACTCATTCTAGCTGCATTTGACCCAATATTAACAATTTGCATCATTATGGATTTAAAGAATTCATACCTAAATTGCAACTGACCTACTTTTATGGGTCCTCTCTGGAAATATATGTCTTTGTCTAGTGGTGTATGGTTCTCTAATTCTTTAGCAATGGTGTGACACTATGAGAAAAAAAAACCTCACAAACTTTCTTACTGAAAAAATGGAAAAATAAATGAAATGTTCTTCATGCTCCAAAACATTTTGAACGTTTTCTTTTAAGTAAAAGAATGTTTGGGAAGAGAAAAATAACATTTTGCTGAGATGGCTCTGAACGGTGTGCTCTTATGTCTTTTATTTCTTCTACCCTGTTTCTCATTGTGTCTTTTGCTCTCTCACTGCTATCGTTTTCTTTGTTCGTCTATCCTTCAGCTGTTACCACTTGTTCCAGGGTTCCTGGACACCTCGGCCCAGCACCTGTGAGACTTATATTCTTATTTGATAGCACCTTCCCTGTCACTACAACTGGCATAGCTTCGTCGCAGGATTTACAGTGGAACTCTTAACCTCACTTGTCCTCTTCATATTGGATATGTTTGGCTCATACCAGTGCAGTTTGGAATAGACCAGAGATGAGCTTTGTTTTATCTTCTAAGAATGTTTCTGCTCAAGATGAGTTTCCATTGTTTTTCCAAGACCAAGCAAGTTTTTCTAAGACCAAATCTAGCAAGCTTAGTTACTACCAACCAAACCAGTTAAAACCAACCAAAAGCCCTGTTACTTCTTTTCAGTTTGGATGAAATCCCTCGTGTATCAATGGCCTAATATTTTAGAAATGTGGATATCTTAATTTTCTCAAATATTTTCAATACCAGAATTTTCTAATAATGGTCTCTACTCCAAATGATGAAAATACCTGTATCTTCAAATTAGAGGTACCTAGAAAGGTTATCTATTCCATTTCTTGATTCATGTCCCAAAATGAAAGTCCATCCTGTTTTTATTTTTTAAGCTTTCTTAAATTTCTTCTGTAACAGTTTGGTTTTATGAAAACAGAACTGGCCATACCATAAACTCCTTATCGGGACCATTAAGAAATTGCTCACGTGAACTCAGTAAGAGGCTTTACTTGAAGAAAGCTCACAGTATTCCAGCTATACTAGCATTTCTTCTGGTTCTTTCAGTATCCCAAGCCTAGAGAACTTTATACATGCTGTTCCCTCAGCCAAGAATGCTTTTGCTTTATCTCTGCCCTTCCTGACCCCTTTCTAGCTTTAATATTTGAGTTAAAATATCTTCTTGATATTCCACCTGAAGGATGCAGTTTGTTTCCCACACTTTTGCACTCTCACTGCCTTGTTTTCACACCTCTACAGCACTGAACTCTCAGTGATCATTTATTTCCTATCCTCCCCTCTCTACTATGAGTTCTGTGAACTAAGAGACCACATCTGTTTTGTTTCTTCCTCTGTGTCCAGTTCCTATAGCAAATACTGGCACAAAGCAGATTTTTTTATTATTGACTAAAAAAACAATTAGTCAATAGTTTTCTCTTGTTTTGCTGTCAAGAATGGCAAAGGGCTAGAAGTATAAATTGAGTAAAATCTGTACTCATTTGAGGCTGGTGGAAGACCGTTTATTTATCTTAGGCTTCATGTTCATGAAGAGTCTCCCAGTTAAACTTTTAACCTTTTCCCTCAATTAAGCAATACTTACAGTCACAAAAACACAGGAACAAGATTTGAAAAAAGAAAAAATAACCATCACACTTTAATTTGGGTCTCTTTACTGGCCACAATTCCAGCAATTAGTACACAGATATTAGATGTTGCAGTTACTCTAGGAGTAATACATTTCTACTAAGCCATATAACTGTGTGGAGAGAAAAGCATTTTGAAACACTGTTTTAGTTATTTCTTTAGATTTTAATAAACTGACAGCTTCAAAAGTGGAGGTTGCCAAGACCAATCTTCTGTGAAATCGGCGACTAGCTGTAAATGTGCATTTTCTCTACTAGGATCTAGTTCTCAGAAACTGCCACGCCCATGGTGGTCACATGTTTGCTCTGGACCAGTGGCGGCAAACCTGTGGCATGCATGCCCTAGTGGCCGCATGGAGCCCGCCCTCTTGGCTCACAAGCCAAGTTGCTACAGCATCACCCCAGCGGCAAGTACCTGATAACAGTGCACAGGGGCAGAGTTGGCACTTAGGATAAATAAGTGGGTTTTGGGTTGCAGCTGGGGCACTCAGTCTCCAAAAGGTTTGCCGTGACTGCTTTAGACACACATTGAACATTTGCTCTGTGCAAAATTCTATATTAGGTGTTGGTATTAAAGAAGAAAAAAATATATAGTCCTCCCTTCAGAGGCCCAAAAGATGACCATCAGTTAAAAATTTTCAAGTGCTCAAATTGTTTGTTAGATGGTTAATCTAGATAGAATATATAAAAATGTATGAAATGGGGAGAAGACTGTATACAGGGGCCAGTGGAAGACTGCAGTGCAAAGGCTTAAATCCAATTAGGAACAGTGGGAATGAAAAGAAATGGGTGATAGGAGCTACTTTAGAGAAAATGTTGGTAAACAAAGGCTCATGTTGGTTATAGTATTATAGAAGGTTAAAGTATTTGAAAGTGACACCAAGGTTTCAAACCTGTTTAACTTCGGAAAGGATGGGAGGATACAGGTCATGCTTCAGTGCATCTAGTTGTACCTGATCACACACCCCTACTGGCCCCAGAGCCTGATGAAAGCCCCCGGATCCCAAACCAAGAAGGCTTTACCTATCCATTTCCCCTTGCCTTGTAGTGTGCTAACTATATCTGTCCCTGTGCAGGACTTCCCCTGCTGTGTTTGTGCCATTTAGAATATCCTACAGATGAACATTGCTTTAGACCTGGGACAGAAAGCTGGTGGTTCAGGAAAATCCAACTTTCTTCTCTCCATCACTAGGGGAATTTCAAAGAAGGAAAACAGGTCCTATCTCCACTGTTTCCATACTTCCCTTGACTGGAATGTAAGAAAGAAACCAGGAGTGATTCTTAAGTCACAGTTTGCTTTGCTCTTTTCTCTCCTTGGACTCTGAAACTTGATCAAAACTGGTTCCCTATGGGCCGGGTATTTAGCTCAGTGGTTTCACTGCCTGCTGCGCAAGCGCAAGGACCCAAGTTTGATCCCCGGTACCAAAAAAATAAAAAATAAAAAACTGGTACTCTACAACTAGAGAAAGGACAGAGCAGGTTTGAGATGGGGCCACAGAGGTAAGGGAACATAGAAGAGAGAGTACTTTCCTATGGTTGCACAGGAAACCTAGGGATGAAAGGGTTGCCAAGGATTCTAAGTACTGACTCTTAGAGGGTCTGGAATAAAAAATGCTGTGCACTCCAGAAAAAGATATAAGGGGCTCCAGAGAAAACTGCTTGTGCTAAGCAGCTGAAGATCCCATTAGAGAGCTAGTACCAAGATGAAAATTCAGTTAAAATTTCTCGGGCCAAAGAGCTGACAATCCCTTTAGGACCAAGATGAAAATTCGGTTAATTTCCCTAAGTCTGTAACACCAGTGTGGAAGACAATATGGATGAGGCCAAATTGAATAGGCAGGCCCATGTGAAAATTTCATCTCACCTGTGAAGATTTCCATTCATTCCCTCTCTGTTCCCAGATTCTCAAACCTCTGATCAGCACTTATTTCCCTCTGCCCTGCTTATACTTCTAGTGGGATTATTTCCTCACCTGCCTGGCCAATCATTTCTTTCAAGTCATGCAGTATCCTTTTTTTTTCCCTATGTCTTTCACTCCACTTGACACTTTGGTTTGTACATTTGCATTTGTTGCATTTCAGTAATGTCCTCTTTCTTAGGACTCAACCAACATAGTTTGGTGGTTCAGGGACTGAGAATAGAGCTGGGGCTGGTTAATTCACATTTGAGAAAAACAGAGGGGAGAAAAAGCCCCCTTCCCCTTGAGTTCCTGCCCCTTCCTGACCCATGGTTACAGCTCAGTGCAAGGCACAGATTTCTTCAGGGGTGAAAATGTTTTTGAGTTTGTAATGGGAAATCTGCTTTACAAATTTGTTAATTATTTTTCAACTCAATCTTCCAACTCAGATCTAGCTTCAGTGTACATTCAATTCTTTGTCCCTTGCGTGATAGGAAATTGCCTCTGTTGGCCCTGAGAGAGACGGGGAGGTAAAGGAAGCTGAGAGTTCCAACCCTATTAGCTAGCTTCTCAGAGCCTTAGCATGTAGCTTATTTACAGAGGAGACCAACCTACCTCCCCAAGGGGGTTTACTTTTTCATCTTTCCATTCATTGTGCACACCAAGTACAGGATCCCTGGACCTGCTCAAAAGAGTGTGCTTTGGACACAGATTACCCCTTAAAACACTCACTCAATGTCACAGTGGATGTCATTTGGTCATTAAAATCCATTAAAATCCCTGGCTGTTGGAACTTCTTGTACACTATATGCTCAATGACCACTTCCACTGACTACTTCGTCTAGGGTTGTAGAGCTCAGGTCATGACACACTGTTCTGGATTATTCCTCCCTCTTGCTTTGGACTTGCCTTTTTTCCCCTGTATCTATTTGAGTTGCCTATGAGAGCTATGGAATATTGATTTTCCTGTTTCCTCCACCTCATCATCATCCTGCCTCTGGAGCCATCTCCCTGTTCTACTTTCTTATTTCTTAGCTCCCAGAGTTCTAGTAGTTATGGAGGGAAGCTGTAAGTAACCCTGGTTCTCTGACTATTCTGAACTTTTCATCTTTCCATACTTCCCACCCCCTAACTCCAGTAAATGCCTCCTGAGAAGAGCCCCAGGCGGTGAGAAACTGTCATCCCCTGTTACAGGCTTTGCTATCTGCTTTAAGCCACCACCTTACAGTGAGATTCAGCTGTTTTTTCAATGGGAATTCTGGGTTGGGAGAAAAGTATTAAGAATGAAATTAACACCTACAGCATTTGGTTAGGCAATAGTGTTCACATTTGTGATTGATTTTTAGAAGAATCTGGTTTGTATTGGAACTTTTGAAAGGGGAACTTCCTATGCAATTGAAATCTCAGGAAATGGGATTTGTTTTAGCCTTTGAAGTACAAATCTCCATAATGTCCTCCCCAGCCCATCCTCTCTACCCACTGGCAATCCAGCATGGTTAGAAAAAGCTGAACGTGTAGTACTAATCTCAGGTTTCATGTCTCAGAAAATGTACATGTACAACAGAATGTTCCATTGCTAAGAATCCAAATCCATGTATTTTAAATTTAAATTAAAATGTGCTTGGTAAGCTTAGTCCTATAGATAAAAGTGAAGACAAATTGTGGTGTGATGTGATGAATCTAAAGCCAGTGCTCTGAAAACTCAAAGATAACTTACTACGCACAGAGTCTGCTCAGCAGCCACTCAGAAGAAGGTAGCTATAGCATGGTTGGGCCTGGGGTTGGCTATAGACAAAGGATTGTTGTTGCATCAGACTCCAGTCTTAAAAGGAAGCCTCCAGTGGGTGTACTTTTATTATAAGAAGCAATCAAAATATTTAATGAGTGTTTAAATTTTTGAAAAATTATTAAAGGAAGAAACACATCTTTACCATTAAGTTACCTTAAAATATCCCTCAAAATACCCTCCTCATCCCAAACACACTTATCCCATTGCTCCTGCCACTTTCTGAAGCAGTTCTGCAAGTCCTCTTTTGTGTCTTTGAGATGTGATAGAAAATATGGTGAATGTGGCTGCTGAGTCCCATCCAAGGGAAAGGTAGGCTCATAAAAACATGATGGTGTGTCCCTGTCCGCCTTATTCCCCAGATCTGGTGCTGTGTGACTTTGTGACTTCTGGCTCTTCCCCAAAGTCAAAATGACCATGAAATGGAAATGTTTTGAATCGATTCAGGACATTAAGGCAACCACAAAAGCACAACTAAAGACACAAAAGAGAACTTCCAGAAGGGCTCTAGAAAGTGGCAAGAATAATGGAATGAATGTGAACGGGGTGGGGGTGGGTATTTTGAGGAAGATTAATGGCAATGTATATTTTACTGTAATACATTTTTTAATGTAAACATTCATATTTTTCGGTCACGCCTCATGTAAATACCACCATTGACTAAATAGCACCCAGAATAGTCTATACTAGTCCACACTAGTTAGTCCTACTAGTTAATCCCCACTGAAAATGGTAGGAACTGACTCAAGGCCAAAGTGTGGGCCATATTTGCATCTAGCTGGTAGAAAAAAAATCAATAGCAAAGGGAGGTGGGGCTGGTACCATTCCCTTTTGGCCTCTGCTTGGGGCAGGATATTTACTGCTCTCTTCCAGTCCTTTCTGTCCACTGAAACCAACAGCATGATTAAACTTTGCTGTAGCACCACAGCATTCCACTTCTTCATAAGGAATAGCCTGGCTATACTAGTATGGAGAGCCAGTTTTGGTACTTAGCATCTCCCACCTCCCTGGCACCAGGTACAGATTAAGATTGTGGATTTCTCTGGAAGAAATTAAAATCTCATGGCGACAACTTTCAGACTACACTGTTTTTGCACATGTGGGAATGTTTGTGACAGGGATATGTCAGCTTGCTGTGGAGTATGTTGGGTGTGACAGGTACAAGTGACAGCTCTCTGACAGTGCTCTTGTTACACTACATGGGTGATTAATGATCAGGAGGATATTTTAGGATGAAAGGGAATGTTCAACATGACAGCATCTGTGATGACAAAGAACAATTTCAAACATGTTTCAAGGGCTGTTAATCCCATTTTTACATCTTTATTTTATAATAGTTTTAAGAGTGGAATAGAAGACAAATATAAATGTTTACTCTGCCTCTCCAACTATTTATCAATCCCTCAGAGAAGGCCTGGATGTTCCCTTTCACCTTCCTCTATAGATGCTATTTTAATTAAGGTTATTTTTTGAGTGATTCCTTATAACACACTATAAGGATTCTGAACTCTGAGCTAAAAATAAGCAAAAGTAACATTTAAAAAAACCTTATATGTAGTGAATACTTCTTCCAACTTGTGAGGACCCACACAAATAAGGGAGGTTTTAAAGAGAATTTTAGAGCAACATCTAACCTAAACCAATAACCTTATAGGGTGAGGAGTAGACTCCATTGGCAAATGTTTAACTGGCAAATATCACTATCTAACCTTTTCTTACTGTATCTCTATATGCATTTATACTTGCTTACTTTTAATTTTCATGCCATTAGTGTTTATTTCAGAAACAAAACCTTCCAGTCACCCAGGTAGTACAACTAAAGCGTAATCTCAACGCTGTCACTTGCACATGACAGAACCAACGTAATGTCCTGCAAGCAGATACATCTCAGTCACATATATCTTTACATGAGCAAAAACTGTTCTTGTGATGAAATGATTTGATTTGAACCCATAAAAATTCACATCTTTTTTGTTTTCTTTGTTTTTTTGGTACCAGGGATCAAACTCGGGACCTTCCACTTGCGAGGCAGGCAGTGGAACCACTGAGCTAAATCCCCAGCCCCAAGAATTCACATCTTTATAAAGCTGTATGACAATAACAGGAAATTCTATGTAATTTAGAGATGCATTCTTAAAATAACAGCTAAATATTTCAATTTTAGGATATCATCTATAAAGTTAAATAATTTTGCTGTAAGCAACTTGTACAAATCTTTATATTCCACCCGCCAAATAAGCTTCTTTAATGGCACATTACACAGTTTAAAATGTACATTAAACCTTTAAAACTCCAAGGTCACATGTTGATAAGTTCATTTCTTAATACCAAGCCTCAAATTTGAGCTTCAAGCCTTGAGGAGCAGCTTATTCACATTGATGAGCATTTTGAATTTAGGCCAAAAAGGGAAAAAAAGGTTCACAGGATCTAAGCTCTTAACAGAACATAACAGTCTACCTGCATTTCAGGCACAAGTTTCTGAAAGATCCATAGCTAATGAGGTTATAACTTTGCTCTTTCTTGCTCTTCATTCAAGGCATAATTCAATCCGAAGACAACTCAACCTGTCAAACCCAGACTTCAACATCCAGCAGCTTCAAAAACAGGAACAGTTGACTGGAATTGGTAGAATTAAACCAGAGTTATATAAACAGAGGTCATTGGATAATGATGACGGGAGAAGGAGTAACAGCAAAGCTTGTGGGAAACTGAACTTCATTTTAAAATATGACTGTGACTTAGAGCAGCTCATAGTGAAGATTCACAAAGCTATCAATTTGCCTGCCAAGGACTTTTCTGGGACTTCAGATCCTTATGTGAAAATCTACTTGCTTCCTGATCGGAAAACAAAGCACCAGACTAAAGTTCACAGAAAGACCCTGAACCCTGTGTTTGATGAAGTGTTTTTATTTCCAGTTCCCTACAGTGATCTTGAAGCTCGGAAGCTTCACTTCTCCGTGTATGACTTTGACAGATTCTCTCGCCACGACTTAATTGGCCAAGTGGTAGTGGATCACTTCTTAGACTTGGCTGATTTCCCCCGGGAGTGCATCCTTTGGAAGGATATCGAATATGTCACCAATGTGAGTTCAGCATTTCTTTTAAATGTGGGTGGTGCTTCTTGATTAGCATGGAAACACACTGTTTTATTTGGGAAGTAAAGTAACAAATTCATGTCAATATGCTTGTAACTATTAATTTAGAATTTCTTTGTATCTTTCCAGAGACAGGTTTTTAACAATGCTCATTTTGAAATTTCTAAGACTTGCTTATGAAAACTATATGAAAGAATCACATGCTTTCTTTTGTATTTTCTGATTCTTAGCAGTCCCCTAAGAGATAACAGATATCTGTTCTTTTAATCACTCTTTTGAGCTTTCTTAGGTTGTTTGCTCTAAGTGGGTCCTGACATCCAGTTCATTGTACTCTGCAGCTAAGACATCATTGCCTGACTCTGAAAGTGCTAAGTCCTTGCTTGTATTCTCTTGATGGCTCAGTGTCACTTCCATGATCAGATCCTCAAATGTAACCCTGGAAATGGAAGTGATTGAGAACAGTTGGCATCACATTTTCAAATGTAAAACTCACAGAGATAAAGTTACACAGAGATCAGTCTGAAAAGTAGCTACAGATAATAGCAAAATTGTTCTATAGAAGGTCAAATCCAATTTAAAGACTGAGAGAGAATGCAGATGCAACATGTAGTGTCCTAAATATCCACAACACACCAGATCTGTAATGGACAAATACCTCCACTATTACTCTTCTGTTCTCAGCCACTGTTATGAACTGGGGACTCCCTCACATGTGGCTGTTACAGGGGATACTTTCTCTCCACATGTCACAAAGTACTAGCGTTTGCCTGCTATTCAGATAGGGAAAGTGTGGCATGGGGTTATGCTAGCCACTACTGTAACGACAGGGCCACTACTGTTATGCTGGGAAGGAAAAGAGTATCACATTGAGGTATTGGAGAAGGAACAGACTTTTTTATCAGGAAAGGTTGTAATATATGTAAACCAAAAATGGATGCTGATGAAAGCAAGGATTGTTTCCCAAATCCCAATTGTCAAAATCAAAAAGCAGCTAAGAAGTTTTAAGGAAATAAAATTGACAGAATGCCTACGTAAGATATGATTTAAGATAAGAGTCAACTCTCTCCTGGAGCACTTACCACGTCCCCTTGGGTGTGGAAGCTGAGACACTGCCAGTGATGAGACTTGGACTCAGGTCTGATCTCGGCATAGATTGGGGAGGGATTGATCATACCATGTAAGAAAACACCAGTTTCTGTTTTTTGACAAATAGATTCCATAAAATAGCTGGACAAATTACAGAAAGTTCAACAGGGATCCTGCTATCTGTTGCCTTCTAGAGATTTGATAGAGCATCACTTTGTGCATAGAACCTCATAAAAATCTGGATAAGGCCAATCCTTAATGGGAATATCTTCACAGGTTCCCACGGTAGAGGAGTACACAGTGGCGGGATGCAGAGACCTCTGGCCCTGAGATCACCGCCATCACAGTGCTCTCCTGGCACGAAATCTTTTCTGTCCATTGTTGGAAAATCCTAGGTAGCCATAGGATTAAGAAGAATGTGAGATTATTTACCAAGGAGGGAAACTTCTAAGCATTTTTCTAGGCCTTTTGAATGCCACAGAAGAAGTGATGTCCTAAGAGTGGAATTACAGTTTATTTTTTATTCTGCAACATGAGCTAAATCCCCAGCCCTGACTATATATATTTTTTAATGAGACTGTGTACAGAGATTATATAAAGATCTGAGATTTGCCAAGATTTCATTTTTATAATTTAGATATATATCATATAGTGTATATAATATATACAGATTAATGAAGGAATAATTAAATGAATAGGCATGAATGCACCAGCTGAAGGACAGAACATTGCCAGTACTTTAGCTGACCCTGGATCTTCCTCCCTTTTCATATTCCCTTTCTGCTCAGAGGAAACCACTATCTTGAATTTTATTTATATTGTGGGGTGTGTGTGTGTGTGTGTGTGTGTGTGTGTGTGTGTAAAATAAATTTAGATTTTGTCTGTTTCTGCTTTTCATAGTTCTTCTTTGACTTGCTTTTTTTCAATCAACACTGATTATGGCATTTCACAACAGAGATGAATGGAGCAGATGGATGTGTATTTTCAGTGCCATGTTATATTCCATTACATTAATGTATGAAAATTACCATTTTTGTGTTGATGACATTCAGTAGTTATTTGTATTTTATGATTCTAAATAATATCTCAGAAGAAGATTTTTGTACACATCACTTGGTTCACGTACACAATAACTTCTCTGGGGTGTATCCATGATACACATACATGTAACACATACATGTATTGGACTTTTCTAGATAATGACCAGATCATTTCCATAATAGCTGTTCAAATTGATTGCCCCACTGGTGAAGTTTGACAGATCCTACTACTTCACCTTTTCACCAACTCTTAAACACTTGTCACACTGATTAACATGTATGCTTGTGATACATGTAAAATAGTATAGTGTTTCTTTAGTTGCCAGGGTGACTATCTTTTCCTGTTTATTGGTCATTCATGTTTCCTTAATTGTGAAATATTTGTTTAGCACTTTCCTCTAAGTTTTCCTTTTATATATTGATTTATATATGCTCTTTTTAGTCTGGTTGTAAATCTTTTGTGGGTTATATGTATCACAAATATTATCTTTCATCTTGTGGCTGTTTTTGTATTCACCCTATGGTGAATTGATAAGTAAAGGTTCTTATAGTGTCTACTTTAATAAGTAGAGCTTACATTTGATACAATAAAATGCAATGATATTTTCTATTGTAAGACAATTGTGTCTTATTTAAGAGATGTTTCCATATGTCATACGATATTTCTCCTATATTTTCTGTTAGAAGTTTTAAAGTTTTGACCTTCTTGAATGTAGTTTAGTTCTCCTCAGAATGGCCTTTTTGTATATAAGTAGTGCTCTATATAGGCATCTTATCTTAGTCAGTTTGGGCTGCTGTATAAAATACCATAGGCTGGTTGGTTTAAACAGGCATTTATTACTTATAGTTTTGGGAGCTGGAAAGATCAAGGTGCTGGCAGATTCATTTCCTGGTGGAGCTCTCTTCCTGGCTTGCCTTCCCTCTCTGTCCTCAGGTTGTGAAGAGAGAGCTAGCTTTCTTCTCTCTCCCTACTTAAAAAATTTTTTAAATATTATGTGTGTGATACATAACAGTGCCATTCATTCTGGGAAGTCAGTACATGTATATATCATATTTCGTTCATTTTTGATCCATTTACCAAACCCTGCCTACCTTTTCCCCTTCCTCTGAATTTCTTTCCCATCCCCCCAAATCTGCCTCTGTTTCCTACCATTTCTCCTTTATTTTACTCTTTATTTATTTTTGGGGTTCCTTTTATAAGAGAAACCATGTACTATTTAACTTTCTGATTCTGACTTATTTAATATTATGGCCTTAAGTTTCATATGGACATTAATCCCATCATGGGCCCCACAAAGGTGACCTCATCAAACTCCAATTACTGCCCACAAGCTTCATCTCTAAATACAATCACATTGGAGATCAGGACTTTAACATATGCATTCTGAGGAGGAACACAAATATGCACCCTCTAACACATCTGTATTTATTTTTCTAAATGGATAAACAATCTTCTGGCACATTTTCTCAATAATATGCATTGTTTACTTTGTCTTATATAGATTTCTGTATTTGAAGAATTTGTTTCTGGATTCTTTCTTCTATCCATTGTTCTCTCTTGACTATCTCTACAAATAGCACAATTTGCAAATTATTGTTCTACAATATATTCTAACGTCTGGAAGAGCAAATCATCCAGCCCACTTCTTTAGTTCATTCTTGGCTGACACTTGGTTTTTCTCAAAAATTTTAGAATTGCATTGTCAAGTTAGACAGAATTCTTTCTGGCATTTGTTTGGGTGCATATGAAGTCTATGGAGTAGTTTAGAGAAATTTTACATCTTTTATGATATTGAATCTTTCTATTCATGACCATATTTTATTTCTCCATTTATTTAGTTCTTTTTTAGTCTTTCACTCAAGCCTTATAATTTTCTTCATGAGGATCTTGCATGTCTCTTGTTAGATTTATTGATAGATACTTAATTTTGTTATTTTAAAATTATATTTTCTAACTATATGCTGATATATAGTTGAAGTTTTTAAATATTTATCTTCTGTTTGAAAATCTTGTAAAACATATATGTATATACAGCTAATTAAAGGCTCTGCCTGTGAGCCAATCACCAGCCCAGAAATTCTTATAATTTGGTTGTAGGCTCTTTAGACTTCTTTGTAAATAATCTGTCATGTGGGAATTATGACAGTTTTGTTAGTTGCTTCCTAACCTGTACCTTTTATTCTTTTCTATACCTTTTGTTCTTTTTGTTGTTATTGTTATATAATGCACAGATTTGAATTTATAGCACAGTGCTAAGTAATAAATATGGAAGTAGACATCCTTGACTTGTTCCCTATTTTAAATGTTATATCTTTACATTTACATAAAGTACGATTTTGCTAGGGATATTTTATGGATATCTTAATCAATATTAAGAATGTATCTCTCTATTCCTAGTTGACTAAGACTTTTTTAAGATTGCAGTTGTTTTTCACTAGATGCTATGATTTAATCTGTTATTTTGGTCAATTATATTAGTTTTTAAATTTTGAATCAATCTTATATTCCTAGAATAATTCAAATTTGCCTTGATATATCACCTTCTCAGTACACTGCTGAGTTCATTCTGCTGATATTTCATTTTGCATTTATGTGCATGAGTAGTACATGTAATTTACTGTCCTACTGTGCTGTTTGATTTGAAATCAAGGCAGTTCTTGCCTTATAAGATTAGTTTGCTCCTGCTCAGTGCCTCTGGAGGCATGGGAGTTTTTATTTTTGTTCACACTGAAGAAACTCCCTCAGTTTCTGGCTTCTGCTTTGCTTCAGACAATAAGCAAAGCAATATTATTTTCCTGGAAATAAAAATTTGGCAACATAAAAGTCTCACTTTGATTTTGGCCTCGTACAGCTATCATTTT